CGAAAAATAAATTTCAAATAAATAAGATGTTAATACATTACTTTAGGATTAATAAACATCTATAAGAATTTCAACGTTTTATAGGGAGTTATTTGTTCAAAGACATATGATGAACTCAGTAACCCAAATAGACTTTTCTAAAAGATTGCAAATATAAATCAAAATCTTAATCGGCATTTTTGACACTATTTGAGACTTTATAGCGCGATGATACCTCTATTTCGAAAATCTATCTGAAGTCCCAATCGGTCTACTAAAAAAAAGTTTTGACTTCTGTTATACAATCTTCCTTTCGAGATATATTAACTTGTGTATATATAAATTGATCAATAATATGAATTATACTATATTTCGCATTCATAAGTTTTATACAATAACGATTTCTTTCATAAGATTAATTTTAAGATATCTCCCAGAATAAACAAGTTCAAAAAGAGGTTAAAACCAAGTTCACTGAGCGCGATCAGTTAAGTAGAGTCGAACAGACTCCTTTTTGACCGGACCACTTCACTCGTCAGAAGTAGTATTGCATAGTATTAGATTCAGACTGCAGAAATGAAAAATCTCAGGTTATCATTAAGCTTAGATCCAGATATCTTACCTAGGCTAGATATGAAGGTTAAAACCTTACTTTTAAGGTCGTTAGAAAGGACTTTCATGACAATCATAACAAATTATATACATAAAGTTGTCTTCGTGTTCATATAGCTTTTGAAATATGACAGTAAACGAAGTTTTATTCTTAATTTAGGACACCATATCTCGAAAACCGGATTACGAAGGCAAATTTAGCGCAGATCAATTCTAGATTTCTGGGTTTCGACTTTTTTCACACTGTTTTAAATAGATCGTTTGAAATCAACGTCATACAGGAGGTTTTTTTTCTTTATACAATCAATTCCCAACTTTGAGATTGACGATCAATGAAACGCTTTGTTGTGGTTCACTTTAACCCCCTTATTTACCTTCATAAGTTACAAATGAAAGATTCACGACAGATCTAGACGAATCGGCTGTTAATCCATATCGCTATTATAATACTCTCGAAGAGCAGCGAAATTTTTGGTGAAACTGTTTTATCTGTTTTAATGTTCGAAATATAATTTGTGCGCTTCAGACTTGACGTGGATGGAAAGATCTCTTAGGATAGCTAAAATAGTTAAAAGTCCAAGAAGAATCGATCGTAACGATAGTAAAGACTGTATTTGGAAGCACCTAAAGAGTTCTATCAATTATGAGCTGCTATAAAACTGAACAGACCATTACATGAAACCTGTACCGAATACAACTGATTCGTTTAAACCTCAAGCGGTCAGATGTGATAGAGTTGTATTGTATCATGTCAATGTTCGGTCACATGTTGCAATACTTTGCAAAACTATATATAAATAAAAGGTGCGGAAGTTTTGCCTCAGACGTCTTCTGGGCTTCAAAAGATAAGCAGTTCTTTTGTTGCCAGAAAGATGTATATCAAGTGGCCAATTTATAAAACTATATATAAAGAAGTGTAGGGGAAGTTTTGCCTGGTTTGTGCGGTTCAGAATTTAAGTGGAAGGAAAGACCTCTTAGGCCATCCAAATAGTTAGAAGACCAAGAAACCAACGCGTAATCGGTCGTGAAGGTTGTATTAGTGTTCTATCTATTATGAGTTGCTGTAATCTGAAAAGACCTTTACCGGAAACCTGTACCGAATACAACTGATTCGTTTTAACCTCACCAATGTTCAGTCACATGTTGCAATACTTTGCAAAACTATATATAAATAAGAGGTGCGGAAGTATTGCCTCAGACGTCTTCTTTGCTTCGAAAGATAAGCAGTTCTTTTGTTGCCAGAAAGATGGAAGTGGATTAGGTAGCACCAAAAGGGTTCTAAATATTATGAGCTGCTGAAATCTAAACAGATCACTAGAGGAAACCTTGCCGAATACAACTAATTCTAATTGTTGCCAGAAAGATGGAACAAAAGGCTATAGATATCAAGTGGCCGATTTATAAAACTATATATTAAGAAGTGTAGGGGATGTTTTGCCCAGTTGGTACGTAATCGATCGTGAAGGTTGTATTAGGTAGCACCAAACGAGTTCTATCTATTATGAGTTGCTGTAATGTGAACAGACCATTACAAGAAACCTGTACCGAATACAATTGATTCGTTTAAACCTCAAGCGGTCAGACATAATAAATTTGTATTCCATCGTGTCAATGTTCGGTCACATGTTGCAATACTTTGCAAAACTATATATAAATAAGATGTGCAGATGTCTTGCCTCAGACGTCTTCTTTGCTTCAAAAGATAAGCAGTTCTTTTGTTGCCAGAAAATGGAAGTGGATTAGGTAGCACCAAAAGGGTTCTAAATATGAGCTGCTGAAATCTAAACAGATCACTAGAGGAAACCTTGCCGAATACAACTAATTCGTTTAAACCTCAATGGTCACACATGATAAAGTTGCATTCCATCGTGTCACATGTTACAATACTTTGCAAAACTATTTATTAAGAAGTGTAGGGGAGATTTTGCCTGGTTTGTGCGGTTTACACAATTGAAGTGGAAGAAAAGATCTACTAGGCCAGCCAAATAGTTGGCAGACCATGAAACCAAAGCGTAATCGATCGTGAAGGTTGTATTAGGTAGCACCGAGAGAGTTTTATCGATTATGAGTTGCTGAAATTTGAACAGACCATCCGTACCGAACACAACTGATTCGTTTAAACCTCAACCGATCAAACATGAACAAGTTGCATTGCATGGTGTCAATGTTCGGTAACATGTTGCAAGACGTTGCAAAACTATATATAAATAAGAGCTATGGAAGTTTTGTCTCAGACGCCTTCTGGGCTTCAAAAGATGAACACTTCTTTTGGTGTGCAATTAAAATGTTGCCAGATAGTTGGAAAAAGGCTATGTATATCAAATGGACCCTATAGCATTTCATAAAACTTTATGAAAGTAAGAAAAAACTACCTAAATATTAAACCTTTAATTAAAATAGAAAATTGAATGAGAAAAATACTCAGAAAATAAGATTAAAAAGTTATTGTTTTAATTTATAGTCGACAGTATTGATATTTACCAAGAAATTTTAATAGAAAAAAAAACTAAATAATTATATAGAATAAACATCAAATACCCTTTACAGAGTTTCACAGATAAAATCACTATCTCGGGAATTAGTAAATAAATACATGTGTAAAAATAGAGTAGAGACAATAACATTTCCCGGAAACAACTAAACACACACGTACTCTCACACACATGTGTATGTAGTTCACTTACGCAAAAACGGAAATGTTTGAAAAGCAAAAAAAAAAACTAAGAAGGAAAAAACTAGAAGAAAAACATTAAATAAAATAAGAATCAAATAAATGTAATTAAAAAGTTAATTGGTATTTTTCTGTGTGCATTTCCACAAGGAAGAAATAGAAAACTAAAAAATAACAAACCAGACGACAAGCGTATGGTTGGTTTCCAATGAAACTACTAATTATATCAATTCAATTAAAATAACATATTTTAACTACAGTAGTTTTCCGATTTAACGAACATTCGTTTCTACGAACATCGCATTTAGCGAACTATCAATATTTTTGCATTGAGTACCTTACATAACGAACAAAAAATATTTTTTGTACTCAGTTTAACGAACAAATATAAATAAAATAATTTAAATTAGAGTTAAATTAACAAAAATAACTAAAAATCATGTCAGAATAGCTTTGACGTTATTAGGAGGGGTATTTACTTTTCCATTGCTTTCGAATATGGATTTCGAGAGTTGATTTTTTCTAATTTAGTAAAATGAAGAATCTAGATAATCTGAGATTTTTTCATTAAAGATTTATACAAAAATATGAGATAATCAAATCTACAATCCTTAATGTCGCAAAAACTAATGTTGATCGAATTAGAAAATCGGAACAAAAAATGTTTAGAGAGGCCAAAGTATACTTTTCTAGAAGCTCGTGCTCAACCCGAATTTGGCCTCAGAATTTGAAATCATAGAAATTGGTGTTCAAAATAAAGACTTTGCCAATCGTATACCTTAACATTTCGCTTTTATTTTTCGCCAAACTAACAAGTCCCCACTGTGACCATAATTTTTTCCAATAAAAATCAATTCTAAGAAATTGTAAGAAACGATATGTTATAGAATAAACAATATAAATAGTTTTTCTTTTGGAAAAAGGATATTTACAGGAATAGCTGTGAAATAAAGGAAAAAATATTTTATACAACTTTGGGTTCAGATATTTCAAAGAATGAAAACAATGAAACTGTGAAACAATGAAACGCTTTAATAAATTTACATTAATCTATTTCCTAAGGAATTCTGAGGCCAGGTTCAGATTCATCGCAATTCCAGCCATTGGGTTTAAACTTGTTTAAGAATTATGTCGTCCGAGTGCTTTTCCAGAACGTAGATTAGTTATACGAAATAAACTGAGTTTTTTCAAATTTCTTTATTGTTTTTACATTGTGATATAAATTGCTAGTTTTTCATAAAATTCTTATAAAATATTGTCTAAAGAAATTATATTTCCTGGAACATATTTTTATAAATTAGATTTTATGTAATTTTAATTATTTATGTATTCAAAAGACACGTTCGAGTTAGAACTGCATATAACGAACTTTTCGATTTAACGAACAGGCCTGACAACATATAGGTTCGTTAAATCGAAAAACTACTGTAATATAGAAAACAAAAGAACTCTAAAAACAAAACTTAATAAATCATAGCAAAACTAAATTAAATAAGAAATTTTTAAGAATTTAAAAGAAATATATCTAAACTAACAGGATAATAATAAATAAATAAGTAAATAGTTAGTAACCACAACCAAAGAAAATAAAAAACAAACCAGAAATGAGTTAGGAAAAAAAAAACAAAACTATTGAAAACAAAACAAAAAAACAAAAGGGGGTGAGGGTGGGGGGTGAGTATTACTTGCATGCAAACAAACGTACAATGGCCGGCCTATGTAGTACCCAAACACCCACTTTGGCCATTTGAGCTTGAACGCCCTTTGCCTGTAGTCCTTTGACAGCTCCTTCAGCATATGCAGGACATTCAAAGTCCACAAAACCATAACCTAAAATTTTTAAAAGAAACAAAAAAAAAAAACGAGATATAAGAGCAAAAAAGAAGAAAGAAAAATAAAATATAGATTTCAGTATTATTAAGGTATGTTTAAAATTAATATAAAAAAAACTTTAAAAAACAACACATGCACATACACAATTTATAGAACAACTAGACAATTTATACAAAATATTAAATAGATATTTAATTTTAATATTTAAAGCAAGCTTTATAATTAGTGTCAATTTTTTAAAATAATTTACAATTTTGTCTTAAGGCTTTTTATGTAAATGCTTAAAACTCTCCCAAACTGTGTTTTAACATTTTATACCCTACACCACTTTAGTAGGAAGAGTATACCCACCTTAAATTATACGTTTTAGTTATGTCCGTCTGTCTGCCCGTCCGTCCGTCCGTCCGTCCGTCTGTCTGCCCGTCCGTCCGTCCGTCCGTCCGTCTGTCTGCCAGTCCTTCCGTCTGTCTGCCTGTCTGTCCGTCCGTGTAAACCTTGTAATCACAATTTTAAAGATAACACAGGCCGACAACATTTGAAAAAAGTCGAAACCTTGAGACCAAGTTATACTTTTCCAAAGGATTGATCCTTATTAAATTTGAATCTGGTCTGTCATATCTTTTTTATTCTTCGAGATATTTTCGCCTAAAGCTTGAACACTAATGGTTTTCGGTATATTCATGGCATGTATACCCTACACCTCTATAGTACGGCGGGAATTATGCTTTGTAAATATTGTTTATGACTAACAAAAATCCACAACTACCTAAAGCTATTGTAGTCAACGCAAAATAAATGGATGATATCTCAGTAATTATAGCAGATTTTTAAATTTTTTAATACGAAAAAATGGAACATATCAGTTTTTTGTATAATAAAGACGGAATGTACGAAAAATTTCAGTTTTTTTTTCAATTTATTGTTATATCTAGTTTCTCGTGACGATATCTCGAAGAATAAAGGAGATATGTAACATTTATAAGCTTTTATTTTAAAGCCGACAGAATGCACTTTCAGATATAACATATAACATTTTATAAATAAAGTAGTCTTGGTGCTGTTAGAACGTCTCAAAATGAACATAAAAATAAGCTTTTTCCAAATTTAGAACACGATATCTTCAATTCCAGATGTGATGAAGAGGTCAGCTCAAGCCTTTAGAAAAGTATACTTTGGTCTCTGGGTATAAAATTCGTCGTGTAGTTCAATGAGATTTGGTACATTATTTTTATAATATACCAAGGACGAAGGCTATAGAAAATAGTTAAAATCTGTCCATTATTTCCCCTAGTCCCCACACAATGAACCTCTCGAATAGGGCTTTTGAGTTCATAATTATGTTACTACTATCATACTACGACAATACTTGCCTTGATGATCCTGCTGAATTTTGTACTGATCGGACCTCACTTGACCCTGGCCCCTCATATAAAACCCTAGATTAGATGATAGACTAGACTATAGACTAGACTATAGACTAGACTATAGACTAGACTAGACTATAGACTGCTATAGACTAGACTATAGACTAGACTATAGACTAGACTATAGACTAGACTATAGACTAGACTATAGACTAGACTATAGACTAGACATAGACTAGACTATAGACTAGACTATAGATAGACTATAGACTAGACTATAGACTAGACTATAGACTAGACTATAGACCAGACTATAGACTAGACTATAGACTAGACTAGACTATAGACTGGAATATTGACTAGACTATAGACTATACTATAGACTAGACTATAGACTAGACTATAGACTATACTATAGACTAGACTATAGACTAGACTATAGCCTAGACTATAGACTGGACTATAACTAGACTATAGACTAGACTAGACTATAGACTAGACTATAGACTAGACTCTAGACTAGACTATAGACTAGACTATAGATAGACTATAGACTAGACTATAGACTAGACTATAGACTAGACTATAGACTAGACTATAGACTAGACTTGACTAGACTATAGACTAGACTATAGACTAGACTATAGACTAGACTATAGACTAGACTATAGACTAGACTATAGACTAGACTATAGACTGACTAGACTATAGACTAGACTATAGATAGACTATAGACTAGACTATAGACTAGACTATAGACTAGACTATAGACTAGACTATAGACTAGACTATAGACTAGACTATAGACTAGACTATAGACTAGACTATAGACTAGACTATAGACTAGACTATAGACTAGACTATAGACTAGACTATAGACTAGACTATAGACTAGACTATAGACTAGACTATAGACTAGACTATAGACTAGACTATAGACTAGACTATAGACTAGACTAAGACTAGACTATAGACTAGACTAGACTAGACTATAGACTAGATATAGACTAGACTATAGACTAGACTATAGACTAGACTAGATAGACTAAGACTAGACTATAGACTAGACTATAGACTAGACTATAGATAGACTATAGACTAGACTATAGACTAGACGATAGACTAGAACTATAGACTAGACTATAGACTAGACTATAGATAGACTATAGACTAGACTACAGACTAGACTATAGACAGACTATAGACTAGACTATAGACTAGACTATAGACTAGACTATAGACTAGACTATAGACTAGACTATAGACAGACTATAGACTAGACTATAGACTATAGACTAGACTAAGATAGACTATAGACTAGACTATAGACTAGACTATAGACTAGACTATAGACTAGACTATAGACTAGACTATAGACTAGACTATAGACTAGACTATAGACTAGACTATAGACTAGACTATAGACTAGACTATAGACTAGACTATAGACTAGACTATAGACTAGACTATAGACTAGACTATAGACTAGACTATAGACTAGACTATAGACTAGACTATAGACTAGACTATAGACTAGACTATAGACTAGACTAGACTGATATAGACTAGACTATAGACTAGACTATAGACTAGACTATAGACTAGACTATAGACTAGACTATAGACTAGACTATAGACTAGACTATAGGACTAGAATATAGACTAGACTATAGACTAGACTATAGACTAGACTATAGACTAGACTATAGACTAGACTATAGACTAGACTATAGACTAGACTATAGACTACTAGACTATAGACTAGACTATAGACTAGACTATAGACTAGACTATAGACTAGACTATAGACTAGACTATAGACTAGACTATAGACTAGACTATAGACTAGACTAAGACTAGACTATAGACTAGACTATAGACTAGACTAGATAGACTATAGACTAGACTATAGACTAGACTATAGACTATACTATAGACTAGACTATAGACTAGACTATAGACTAGACTATAGACTAGACTATAGACTAGACTATAGACTAGACTAGACTAGACTATAGACTAGACTATAGACTAGACTATAGACTAGACTATAGACTAGACTATAGACTAGACTATAGACTAGACTATAGACTAGACTATAGATAGACTATAGACTAGACTATAGACTAGACTATAGACTAGACTATAGACTAGACTATAGACTAGACTATAGACTAGACTATAGACTAGACTATAGACTAGACTATAGACTAGACTATAGACTAGACTATAGACTAGACTATAGACTAGACTATAGACTAGACTATAGACTAGACTATAGACTATAGACTAAGCTATAGACTAGACTATAGACAAGACTATAGACTCGACTATATACTAGACTATAGACTACACTATAGTTTGTCGATATTTTTCGATGTCAAAAAGTTTTATAAAACATCAATGCCTGTCAGGAGGTCTAATGGACTCCAATAGAAGATTTCAAATGAGATTATAACTAATCGGAAAGTTATTGATTACACAGGCCAAGATGGAATCGCAATATACTTTTCTAAAGCAATATACTTTTTCTAAGTGCAACTAAATCTGGCCTCCATCACATCAGTTTTCGAGACTTCCATGTATGGCCATTTTTGAAACGTTTTATAAGCGCGAAGACATCAATATTTGTAAAAATTGATTGTGTCATTTGAAAGTCCAATGTGTCGACATTAAAATATAGGTTTAACCTCTAATATATCTTCGAGATATTTTAACCTAATGCATGACCGATTTGGTCGGTTTTTCAATCTTTACGACAAGATATCAGTAAAACATGATGTGAAGTACTGCTCACTCCTCTAGAAATGTATACTCCTTGGTCTCGTAACGTTCGTGGCCGTTAGTTTAAATCAGACATCGGCAGAGAGTGGCTTACTTGTGAAAGTAACAGAGCAAAATATATTGCTTGTCGGGGTTAAAAAAGCTTTTTGGATATCGATATCAGTAAAACATGAAGTTATGTGCTGCTCACTTCTCTAGAAAGGTGTACTCCTTGGTCTCGTAACGTTCGTGGCCGTCTACCGTCAGTTTAAATCAGACATCGGCAGAGAGTGGCTTACTTGTGAAAGTAAGAGAGCAAAATATTTAGCTTATCAGGGTCAAGAGAGTTAATTCAATCTTTTGTCTTAAATAATTCAAAGTGTTACTGTTTTCGATTATCCACTAAAATTAGATTCTTTGCTATAAATTTGTATTTTTTACTAAAAACGATTTTTCACCAAAAATTAAATTTTTTGCTAAAAATCTGATTTTTCATCGAAAATGCAATTTTTTACTAAAAATTTTATTTTTCAATAAAAAATCTTACTTTTTTTCTAAAAATTAAATTTTCATAACAATATAAATTTTTGTTTTAAAGCGATTTCGCTATAAGCAATATATTGGTTCTCAGAAAGAAAAAAATTACAAAATTTAGCTGAACGCACCTCTTGACCGATATAGATTCTTATCTAATCTAACAAACTATAATACTAAAGCATATTTTACACTCAAAAAATACAATTCTATTTTTTGCAAATTTTTCTCTCTAAATTTAAACATGCATGGTCAATTTTTTTTCTTAACTAAAAAGCTTGTTTTAATAAATTAAAATAAAAATTATACAAATTTAATTAAAACATTTCCAAACTATAAAATGTACTATATATGCATATACTATATATGTATTAAACTTTAATAAATGTTAAAATTAAAAACCATTAACAAATAATTCACTTATTATTTAAATAACTAGAAAATTTTATAAATATAAAATAAACAATTAGTTACGTTTAGTTTATACATATTTAGAAGTTAGAAAATATTTCTCTACACGTTTATTATAATATGAATATAAAATATCAAAGTGCAATTTCATGATTTATGTATGATCAAATCAAATCGAATATAAAGAAATTATAAAAAAATAAATACTTAAACAATTAAACAAAAAAAAAAAAAAAAACTAATAACAAATACCTGATAAAACAAAAAACTAAAACTATTTTTATTTAACTAAAAACACTAATTAAAAATTTATATAAAAAACCAACGCTAATAAAAGAGAGACACGAAAAAAAGTTAAATTAATTACACATATTAAACAAAATAATTAATTAGTAAAAAGTATTTTATTTTATAGTCTGTACAAAGAAAAAAAAAAAAAACCAAACACATTGATATAAATAAAATAATTAAGAATACACAAATACAAACACTCACACAGCCACACAAAAACATACACACACACATACACGTTTACAAACACATATACAAATATAAATAAGTAGAAAAATTACAATAAAAAGGAAAAAAGTATAAAACTAAAATTGATGAAAAATGGTGAAAAGCAAAAAATACCTTTACATTTATTTGTTGTTTTATCTAAAATAGCCTTGGTGGATATAATAGTTCCATATCTGTATGTTTTGGGGGAAGAAAATGAAAAAAAATATATATATATAAAAATTAGAAACAATTTGAGATAAAAGAGATTAGTTTTTTATATTTATATAAAAAAATAGACAATAAACTAAAAAACAAATATTTTACTGTCTTTGTTTAAATGCATCGTGTTTCAGTTATTGTCAACAAATTGATTTTTTTTTCTGGATTTATTATAAAATAGTGTAATTTAAATTTTCTATTAATTAAGAAGTTTCTGAGGTAGATAGTCGCTACTTGACTATAGTCCAGACTATAAACTTGACTTTAGTCCAGGCTGTAAACTTGACTATAGTCTAGACTTGACAAAAGTCCACACTATAGACTTGACTATAGTCCAGACTATAGTATAGTCTAGACTATGGAATTGACTATAGTCCAGACTATAGACTTGAATATAGTAGAGACTATAGACTTGACTATAGTCCATACTATAGACTTGACTATAGTCCAGATTATAGACTTGAATATAGTCCATACTATAGACTTGACTATAGTCCACACTATAAACTTGACTATAGTCCAGACAATAGACTTGACTATAGTCCAGACTATAGACTTGACTATAGTCCAGACTATAGACTTGACTATAGTCCAGACTATAGACTTGACTATAGTCCAGACTATAGACTTGACTATAGTCCAGACTATAGACTTGACTATAGTCCAGACTATAGACTTGACTATAGTCCAGACTATAGACTTGACTATAGTCCAGACTATAGACTTGACTATAGTCCAGACTATAGACTTGACTATAGTCCAGACTATAGACTTGACTATAGTCCAGACTATAGAATTGACTATAGTCCAGACTATAGAATTGACTATAGTCCAGACTATAGATCTGACTATAGTCCAGACTATAGAATTGACTATAGTGCAGACTATAGAATTGACTATAGTCCAGACTATAGACTTGACTATAGTCCAGGCTATAAACTTGACTATAGTCCTGACTATAGACTTGACTAAAGTCCTGACTATAGACTTGACAAAAATCCTGACTATAGACTTTAATATAGTCCAGACTATAGCCTGAATATTATTCAGACTTGACTATAGTCTAGGCTATAGACTTGACTATAGTACAGCCTATAGATTTGACTATAGTCCAGACTATAGACTTGACTTTAGTCCAGACTATAGAATTGACTTTAGTCCAGACTATAGACTTGACTATAGTCCAGACTATAGACTTGACTATAGTCCAGACTATAGACTTGACTATAGTCCAGACTATAGTATAGTCCAGACTATAAATTTTAATATAGTAGAGACTATAGACTTGACTATTGTCCAGCCTATAGACTTGACTATAGTCCAGACTATAGACTTGACAAAAGTCCTGACTTGACTTTAGTCCAGGCTGTAAATTTGACTATAGTCTAGACTTGACAAAAGTCCACACTATAGACTTGACTATAGTCCAGACTATAGTATAGTCTAGACTATAGAATTGACTATAGTCCAGACTATAGACTTGAATATAGTAGAGACTATAGACTTGACTATAGTAAAGACTATAGACTTGACTATAGTCCAGGCTATAGACTTGACTATAGTCCATACTATAGACTTGACTATAGTCCGGACTATAAATAGTCTAAAGTAGG